GGGGGAGTGTATACACGCACAGGCGTGCTGGGGACCTAGGTAGTGTGCTGGGGGTATAAGGTGGGCGCTAGGGACTTGGGTAGTGTGCCGGGGGCACGTTTGCCCCTTCCAGGCTATGGCCTTGAGGCTAGCCCAGGAGTCCCAGCTCAGCTGGGTCAGACTGAGGCCCACCCTGTAGACACCGGCCTTGATGCCACCTGCTGCCAGGCCTTGGCATTCACGGGTCTGCTTTCCCCAGCCCAGGCAAGCCCCTTGCCCTGGTGGGCCTCCCAGCTGGGGACAGTAAGGCTCACAGGTATGGAGGAGAGTAGAACAAGGTGCCACCATGTCCTGACTGGCATTGGGCCTCCGGCACCACCTCCCTGCTCCCGGCTGTTACACCTGTGGAGGAAGCCTCAGACAGGGTGGGCTGCCCTGCCTCTGGGAGCCTCTCTCGCCTCACTTGTGAGCTGGGGACACCCCTCCAAGGGAGGGGATGAGGAGTAACCGGGAGTGCGTGCAGGGGGAGCTCCGCATCACCAACAGCTCTGCTGGGAGTCTCGGACCAGAATCTTCCTGCGGGGGTTGCTCCCTGCTAACCCGGCTCAGGATGCACGGGAATGGCAAACACCACTCGATCACTTCGGTGTGCCAGGCCATCTCCTTGGCCCTCAGCCTTTCTGGGGCATCTGGGATGGGTTGGGGCGGTGGTGGCCCTCAGCTGCCCTCAACCAGGCCTCTAGACCCCTGGCTTCTGGTATGGGTAGCCCAGCCTGCCTTCCCCAGACTGAGTACCCTCTCCCATGGCTAAGGTGGCACCGGGGCCAGGCTGCTGGCTGCCAGACAAGCCTCCATGTGGGAGGGTTGGTGAGGCCCACCCCGAGCCATCCCTCCACGAGGACCCCCCACCTCCACCCCACCCTGTCCCACTCCGATCTACACACTGTTCCGGAAGCAGCAGTCAAGCGACGAAAGGCCACACTGCACGGGGCAGAGCTGCTGCCCGAGACCTCTTCAGTGTGAAAGAGCGAAGGTGGCACTTGGAGGCCCCGGGGCACCTGGTCCAGGCCCTGGTATAAGTGAATCGTCTCGTGGGCACGTGAAACCTGGACAGTGCGGCAATAGGAAGGCGTTGGAGAATGCTGAAGGTGCCGCCGATGGCCTGAAGAACAAACCCCCTGGCTTGGAGCAGCATGGCTGAACTGCTCCTGAGAAGCAGAGGTGGTGCGACTTGGGAAAGTAGAAGGTCGGCCAAGAGAAAGGAAGCCCTTCAACCAGACGGACTGACACGGTGGCTGCAGCCCCGGGTTCAAGTGGAACAGGACCGGCAGTGTGCCATTCAGTTGTGCGTGAGGGTCCATGAGCCAGAACCGCCTCCAGGACTCGGGACTCTTCCAGCTGACACCTGCTCATTTTGCCCAGACTCTTGGCTCTCCAAAGCTGTGGGGCACCCTGATGCCTGGGTGTAGCTACACCCACTCCCCACCCCTGGGCTCACGCCCACCCACCCACACAGGGTCCACCCTGCCACTTCAGCCCAGGTGACACACAGGGTCTGGGTCAGAGACCTGGGCCCTGGTAGCAGGTGGCCCTTCCAGGCCCGAGAGTTGGTGGGCGAGTGTCAATCTCACGGTTGACCGTTCAGGGCCCACAACCTTGCTCTGTGGCTCGGGCAGCCTTCCTGAGCCTCGGGTCCCTTGATGGCAAGCTTCCTGGCTGGTGTGGGAAGGACCCAGTGTCACTGGGTAGGGCCCTTGTGGCTCAGCAAGCTGAAGCTAGACACTCTGGGTGGGTGTCCCAGGAAGCCCACCTCAGGGCCATCTAGGGGAGAAGGCTCTTTACCCTGAAACTTTCTGCCAGGAGCCAGGGTCTCTCGGCACCAGCTGCCCCTGGGCACAGCGTTGCCCTCAGCCTGCTGCTCCCGCCTGATGCCAGCTGTCCCCACAGAGCATCATCTACTATGTGAGCCGCTCGCCGAAGCTGGAGGCGTGGCTGAGCCACGAGGGCATCGCAGCAGCCCTGAGGCCAGTGCGGGCACCTGGCTATGCGGACTCGGACCCTACCTTCTCACTGAGCGTGGACGAAGACTACGACCTCCGCCTCTCCGGCCTCTCGCTGCCCTCCTTCTGTGCCGTGCACCTCGAGTGGATCCAGCACTGCGCCTCCCGCCGCAGCCAGGTCCGACACTGCCCTTGGAGACCCACCCGGCCTGGGGACCCGGCGCCTCACCCCTCCCTGGGCCCCAGTTCCCTGTCCCAGGTCTGAGCTAGGCTCTGGGGATGGGTCCTTGTGCTGCAGCCCGTGGACCAGGACTGGAACTCACCACTGGTCACACTGTGCTTCGGCCTGTGTGTGCTGGGCCGCCGTGCCCTGGGGACGGCCTCACACAGCATGTCTGCCAGGTGAGTGTTCTCCCCCCCCCCTCCTGCTGGCCCAGCCTGCTGCCCACAGCTATCCTAGAGGGTCCCACTAGATGAGCGCCTCCCCGCCACCCCTCCCCACCTGGGGGGGTGGTGCAGAGGGAAAACTGAGACCCATGTGAGTGGTGGGGGGGCATCTCCGTCTAGGGTGCTCAACATATGGGACCAGAATTTTGCTACTCAGCGCCCCCTGCTTTAGTCCTACCAGCCCCTTACCTTTCTTCCCTCCCCCATCTCCACCTTTCCCCACCCTCCCTTCCCCCTACTGCTCTCCCCCTGGCATGGCTTCCTCCCCTCCTGTACACTCTGCTCACCCCTGGTCTTCCTTCCCCAGCCTGGAGCCCTTCCTCTATGGCCTGCACGCTCTGTTCAAGGGGGACTTCCGCATCACCTCCCCGCGGGATGAGTGGGTCTTCGCGGACATGGACCTGCTTCACCGGGTGGTGGCACCGGGGGTCCGCATGGCCCTCAAGCTGCACCAGGTGGGCAAGGCTGGCCGGGCAGGGTGGGCCTGCGGAGGGCCGCTGACCCAGCCCCTGCCCTCCCCGCACCCAGGACCACTTCACGTCCCCAGACGAGTACGAGGAGCCAGCGGCCCTGTACGATGCCAT